CTACGTAAAACTCCTCCCACTCGTTGTGCGCTGTTTATGTGGACAGGAAATGAGATAAAATCGTAAACGGAAGTTTGTTAACAAGAGTAAAAGTTGCGCCAACAACACAAACAAACAACACCGTTACTAAACATACAACAAAATTTAAGACATTGACCGCCACCGCCATTTATTGCTTATAAAAGGAGAGTAGTTAAAATTTGTAGGCCAGCATGTCCGAAAGTATGTAATTACAGGGATAACAGGGTGGTCCATTGATTGATTTGACTAACAGCTGCCTTTATTTTTAGAATATAACGTAGCATTGTGGAGTATGTATAGCTTTAAAAACAAGAGAACTCAACAACTTCGGCTTCACCGAAGCTATAATACTCTTCACAGGCGCATTTCTTATAGCATAAAAGGTCCTAGAAAGATCTTTATCTTGTTTTGAGTGATCCGTTTGTATGGGAGCTATATATTGTACTGGATTGTACCCGTATATATCGACAGTCGGACATAGCTGCATCGACTCAGCTAGTCGTGCTAATTATTTATATATATGTACTCAATAAAGTATCCGATATTTCCTGTTTAGTATTAAAGTTAGGCTGTACTACTAGCAGTGTAGTTAATCCTAAATGTAGGCAACAGGGTTACATGGGTTAAAGAGTTTCCAAAATTCGTTTTTTTATTGTCTTATTAAATTCTACAACCCCACTAGCAGATTGTCCTAAATTTTTAAGTTGATCCGAGTAATAGGTTTAGACATACAGCCTTGTAACCTTGTGCACTCGAGTCTAGCTATTCTAAGTCGCCGTCTTAAAACACGTTTTTCTCGAAACTGTGTTTTTGAAATCGGTTGGCAAGATTACTCGAGAACTGCTGACCCAATCTTCATGAATTTTACACATATCTTTGAGAAAAAAAAAGTCGCGAAATTTTGACTGAAAATTTCATTTTTTTTTTTTTAAGTTTGGCAAAAACCCAAATTTCAGTTTTTTTCCTTCGTCCAAGTTCTAAATTAACGTTTTAACTAAAACACGTATTTTTCACTATAGATGATCCTTTAAAGAGTTATCCTGCCTATGCGGACATATTTTTTTTCCGAGGGATCACCGGAAATTCCGTCGCATTGGACGAGTTTAAAATATTTTTTTTCAAAAAATTTTAGAATTTAAAATTTTTTAATATATTTTCCTTTGCCTTGAACTACCCTTTACAATCACCAAACTTATAATTACAAATACATGCTTAATTACCATTTATTTGGCACGTCTACACCACGTGATGCTTTAACTCAAACAGTTGAACAAATTGATAATAACTCAAGCAATTAAAGAAGCTGAATTAAATTTAGAGTGCAAATATATATGGCTGAAGAAGAAACAAGTTTTGGAAGACGGGAGTAAGTGGGCGTGGTACTTTAGAAGAAAAATTATACACCTATCACCATTTTGCAAATCAACAAATAAACTCTCTTTAAATCATTTGAATTTTTGCAAAGAGCGAAGAAAACCCAAAGCAAATCGCTCCGAAGCAGCAATGAATTTTCTTTAGAGTGCAAATTAGTAAATTCGTTCTTAGCTCTTGCGAGACCGTATAGCTGATCAGAGTGTCAGTAACAGACGTCTCCCTTTTTGTTCGCATTTGTTGCATTTGATACTATTTTTTGCCATTAAAACGAATACATGTTTTGTTGCTGCATAAATTATTTATCTAGTCAGTGGGAATCAAAAAGTCAAGGTAGCTTTCTTGCTGGAGTTTTCAGACTTTTGTTAAATAATTTGCTTACTAATGAGCTTCCATAATACTTCGGCTCAATTTACATGATTTGTTCGTGGAAAAATTTTAAAGATCTTTTACAAACGCGGAAGTTAGTGGCAGTTATTGAAATAATTTCCTATTTTGGCAAGAATAATATCATTATATCTGTTCTAAAAATTATTTGTTATTTTTATTGTTATAGAAGGTATGAAAATGAAATAAAATGAATTTTAATTTCAAATAAAAAATGATAACAGTATCTTCTTCAAGTTATTTTTCTTCTACATTTTCAATAAAATATCATATTAATTACGTCCTATTTTTATACCCTGAACAGGATATATTAAGTTTGCAACGAAGCTTGTAACACCCAGAAGGCAGCGTCAGATATAGGTTTCCGGTTTTGGATATATATAAATGATCGGTATGTCGAGCTGAGTCGATTTAGCCATGTCCGTCTGTCTGTCCGTCCGTCCCTCAGTTTTTCAAGATATCGTTTTGAAATTTCGCAAACGTCATTTTATTTTCAAAATGCTGCTCATTTATCGGAACTGCCGATATCGGACTACTATAACATATAGCTGCCATACAAACTAAACGATCGGAATCAAGTTCTTGTATGGAAAACTTTCACATTTCACAATGTATTTTATAAATTGTTCAAATCGTTTAACTATAGCATTAAGCTGCCATACAAACTGAACACATAGTTACTAACAGAAATGCACCTGTGAAGGGTATTTAGGTTCGGTGCAACCAAAGTTAAGGTGTTTTCTTGTTTGTTTGAGCAAATGAAATACTAAATAAATTTAAAGAAAATATTTAACTTCAATTTTTAGCATAAAGCACACTATGATCTAATAAATATTCAACCTACAAAAGAAAACCAAAATTTTCGGAAAATTCCTTTTTATTTCTCCAACTTCTACAACAAATTAGAAAAACATGTTTTCCGAAGGTTCATAAAGTAGACTAGCAGCATTAAACTCCTCATTCGATATTAAATTTTTTCTAGCAAAAGACTTTTTCACGTTTTGAAACAAAAAGGAATCAAATCTGAAATAAACACTAGATGGCTCAACAGTGCGGGTGGAAGTGTAAGTCCAACCGTTGTCATGATGGAAGAGGCTAGTAGAGATCTGTTACTGTTTTACCATTCTTGAGCTATTCGATGTAGATTGAATGTCAATGTGAACCTCAGAAAGTTATGGCCGTCACCTTTCCGGCCAACAGCTGATCTTTGTTATAGAAAAGGCACCAATGGATCCATCTTTCGCCGCTGGTAACAAAACGATAAAGAAAATATTTTGCTTTTTGCTTAAACAGCGTCATACACATCTATAACGTGCTTTCACGGTTGCGCATGTTATCGTGAGGCTGCAAAGACAGCACCAATATAACGGCAGCTTTCTCATAACCAATATTCCATGCACCATATAATAAGCATGGTTTTTTGAGATGCAGTAGATCGGGGACTTTTGTCACATCATAAACATTATTTCATTATAAAAATTTGTTTTCGACACAACTGGGGGTTCGCATCAAAAACCGTCATGCGACACCTGTTGAAACTCATTAAACCAATTTTTGCCAGTCGTTTCGAAGGAGAAGAGTGAAGTTTTTAATTTTATTCAGCGATTTCTACTTTCCACTTTTCTGAAATCCGCGTTGTCAAAATGAAACTTTGATAAATCCTTTGACGAATCCGATTTTTTTACCAGTAATCGTCTCAAAAAATGTGCTGCACGAAAGTAAAAATTATTCTTGCTATAGTGGCATTATCGGGTAATCAGACCTAGTCTACTTTAATAAAAACAAGTAGGTGAGAACTAAGTTCGGATGCAATCGAACATTTTGTACTCTTTGAACTTGCAAAAATCAAAGCCAGGAAAATCAAAGAAATTATATAGACAGTGAAATTTCCCTAATCCACAAAAAAAATATTTGAGTTATGGCAGGAAATTTGTATGAAACTTGACTTGTATTGTCAATTCAAGAGTTCGAGTTTTGGAGGACTTCAAGTTATAGAAGTTCAACTGTATATATATTAGGGTGTTTTTTTAACTATTAATTTTTTTCAATCCCGTCACGAAAAAAAAATTCCCAGAAAATTTTGGCCCTTAATGTTAACATTAAGAACTAGACCAAGGCATGTAAAAATTTTCCATTGAAAATACACTGCAATCGTGATCTTTTATCCTTAAATTCCTACAGCTTAGAGGTATTTTATGACAGCGACTTTAGATGCATATTTCTCAGAATCGATCATTCTACAAAAAAGTGCCCAACAAGAGCTATAGAAAAAATATAGATGACAAATTTGTAGGAAATTTCATTTGTCCAAAATCAAAATCGCGTCATAAATATTTGTCGAGATGTTCAACTTTTTATGTACGGCTTTATCAAATTTTTCTAGATGATATGCATTAAAAACTCTATGAAAATTCCATACAACCATTTCGTAACGGGTTTGAGAAGTTATTAATAGTTCAAAAAACAACCGAATATAATATTATGAATATATATTTATAGCTCATTCACCGTCCGATATATTCAATGGAAGGTTTGTTAGAAAAACGAAAATCATTTTAGTACATCAGTCGGGTGTGAGCACTCAAGCAGAACGCGCGTGTATCCATCACTTAATTGGAAAACAGTCAANACAAAAACTATATTACCAATAGCAACATATCATAGCTCATTCTCAAACAATTTTTAAGTAGAAAAGGCAAAATCGCCTGTACTCTTAACTTATATACATTACTCACTGTAAATACATATATTATAAGAAAAGTGAAATAAATTTGAATTTGAATTTGAAATTTTAGTACATGTAGAGTATGGCGAGGTGGGGTAGAATCCACCACATACCAATAAAATATTCCTTGATGTTGATTAAGGTACCATCACCAATATTAAGTAAAGTCACAGAGTTATCGAGATTTTTTACTGAAATTACAGCTTGCATGGACGGATTTACACACAGCCATTTACCCGGGTTTCTACTTTTCTCGTCATCCTGATCATTTATATATATACATACATGTATAATCCTATATCTATAGGTGAATAAAACTTCTATACTCTGTTGCAAGAATAAAAAAAAAGATTTTTTACATATTCATCAGTTTGATTAATACAATCGCACCAATTACCATAAGAAATTTCAAATATTGTAATTACTTTTCACTTCAAATTAAATAAACTCTTGCCGGAATTAATTAACCGCTATTTTGCTATTACTTTATTTACAGATCACGCCGGCGAACTGGGTTGGGCGTTCACCTTAATCATAGTTTCAATCATATCAGCTCTTATAGGTGCTATTGTAATGGTCATAGTTCTAAGGTGTAGAAGGTGAGTCACAATTATACTTTAAACTTAATTTCATATTATATATGTATACACACAAACAAACAGACAATGGCAAACGTGAGTTAATTAAGCCATAAAATGAAAGACTTAAACGACAAACTCGTCAACAGGTAGGCACCTTTTTATTATTCAATTAAAGTGAATATGTAGCAGCGTGAAAATTAGTGCGCTGCTGCATGAGGCATACATACATACACATATGCAGCTTTGTAAAATGCGAGCAATGCAAGCAGCCAACCAGTGACTCAATTAGTCAGCTGATAGATGATATCACATAAACACACCCACAGCCACATACAAACGGCATATGGCATCGCAGTTATGTGCTAATAATGGAAATGAAATTAACACGAGCAACGCGCTGCGCATCGCTGCGGCCGCTGAATGAGTCGTTAATTGGTGCGGCGCGCATGCCAGCCAAGCGGGAATGCAAACAGCAATAAAAGCGCTGATGAACTGATGAATACTGCCTGAATTATGAATATCGAGGCACAATAAAAAAAACTAAAACAAAAAAATAAATAAATAAACTGTATATTTATGAATATATTTCAAGTTACAAAAGAATTTCGTGTTTGCGTTTGGAATTCGAGCTGGCGCTTGGTCATTTCGAAGGAACTTTCAGCTTCTCTTTTTTCTACGATATATTTATTAGCTTTTATTTAGTGTTGATTTTTTATACTTTTTTCTAATTTCCATTGAATGCTGTCAAATTAAGTCACGAATATTTGAGGTAAAAGGCAATTTCGTTCTCGTTTCGTTACATTAACGGCACTTTGATGTAATAATAAAAGCCTCATAAATGCTCTTGCGGCATGCAACCGTTGAAAAATCGTGCGTTTTAAATATTTAACTAGGTTTATTGTCATTTTAGTGCAGAAATCGCGGCACTGCACAGCACAATGCCGCTTTAATTACATTATGCTCCGCTTTTATGTGTATTCAAATTTGAAAAATTATATGAAAAAAAAAAACCGAAAGCCATAACTCATTTGCGGTCTTATGGCTTGGGAAGTCCATTCATCATGCTCACAATGCAAAGCTAATGCGCGCCTGTGGCATTCGTTGCGCCAGTGTGGGTGGCAAATACCCCTTCACATTTTTGCCAACGCTATTTCATGCTCTTTTAATATATATATTTAAATATTTATTGGTAATGATGTAATTATTGCTCAATTAAAATGTCAACATGTGCATAAAAATTTATTGCAAGGCATTAGAGGCAATAGAAAAGACGAAATTGTTTTAAATTGCTGGAAATTTGTCAAATTGTGAGTTGTATTCACATTTTTATTTTTATTTATTTATTTTTTTTTTTTGTTTTTGTTTGTTGTCATGGCAAAAAGTAATTGCAACTTTTTTGCATGTATTGAAAATTACCAATAGCTAAATGGTCCGTTGAGGCCATGAAGTATAATGGCGGACAAAATTAAGCGCATCGAATGCATTTATGTACAAAAAATAAGCAAATATTCTTTCGAAACTGTCAGTAGATGGAATATTTTAAGCACTAAAGCATAGTTTAATTAAATAAGCGGTCGCTAGCTTAGGAAACAGCAAGGTTCAAAGTTACAAAAATAATTTGCGAAGCACACAGACGTAGGTATATATTATGAGGTAGAGGCTCTTAAGGCCACTGACTCTGAATTTTGATAGTAAATTTTAATAATTAGTAGATCGTATGCCATGATGAAATGGCAAGCTTTAGCGAAGAAAAATATTGAAAGAACGGGAAAAAATTTATCGTCGTTTATTGTCCCTATCGGTCTGCTTCAGTAATGCCCTATTCGAAAAAGCCTTCATAAGATCTGAAAAAAAATTCAATACTCTTCTAGTAGCTGATTTCAAAACTCTGTATATCGCGTTATATGCCAAATGTGATCAAGTTGGGTTGTATGGCCTCGAAAAGATAAAACAATGTGCTAAAAATAGTTCTTAGACAATTGGACTTGGCTCAGTATTGATTGAGCACACATTAAATATGGAGACCAACAAAAGACAAAATACTCATTATTTAGAGATTTTTCTGCTGAATGATGTGAATAGCTTATAAAGTTCTGTTACTCAAAATTTTGATTTTAACTTTGATGTGAAAGATTCGCCGATTTTTAAAGGCAGAGTTACCACAAAAAAGATCATGGACTCAATCTCCATTTAATAATCGCGACTGCTTCACAACATAATCGATTCATTTCTAAAGCGGATTATTAGTTATGATGGAAAGTGGTTCCTTGTCCCTGAGAAATTCCTCTAAAAGCTCCAATCCAATACTCTGCCCCATATTTTATCATCCGCTTTGAGTTTTTTAAATCACCATCCCCCTTAGACCAATCTTAACTTAAGCCTCTGCTATCTGCCTAACAATCCATGCATTGAACCATTCAAAAATAATAATGTCAAAGTGTGGTATTAAGCGTCAAATTCGATAGCACTAATGATGCAGTTAATTGCGCTGACTTGAACAAGAGCAAGCTTACCGGCTTGTACATTTAAGTATGTCACATATAAACGAGTATATTGCGGTAATAACTCGCCAGCGCAGCTCGAACTGCAGTGGAACTCCTACAACAAATTTGTCATGCACAATTTTTAGTATTTTTGCTTTAACGCCATCAAAGTGGCGCTGCATATTATTGTCGCCTTGAATTGGTAAGCGTGGGACGGCCGTGATTGGGCATGTCACAGCAGAAAATTAGCAAAAAAGAAATCGCATATTCCCATGCATTTTTACTTTTGGATATTTTTGGTGAATATTATTTTTGTTTTTAACTGTACTATGGCATATTTGAAGCAGAAAATTTGCAAAAATTTTTAAATTAAATTTATTTTTTTTAATTTGTTAAATATTTTTTTTTACATTTTAAATATTTTTTTACAATTTAGCCAATTATTACAAATTTGTGATAATATTATATTTCCAAAACCTTAAAATTGCTGTTATAAATATTTTTGAAACAATACAGCAGCTTTGATTGCCAGCCTATGTTTATGTATGTAAGCCTAATGCTTAATTATTTTTAAAACAATTTTTTTACAATATTTTCCACTGTGTTTTGTTGCAATTTTTCACACTTCCAACGCACTTTGCCATTACTTGGCCATAACAAAGTGTCGCTTGTTGTTTTAATTGCGAATAATGACCAATGAAGTCGTCATTGTCGCGCCTGAAGTGGCTAACATAGCACTAATCTTGACAATAACAGCAATAACACACATCATGAATAAAATACTCTTAATTACAATGCAATAAAAACCATTAGACAAACTTCTGAGCACTTTTATGCAAATTTCAATAATAACCGTTAAAGTTTCCGACGAGAAATTGAACATTCGCTACTTTTGTAAGTTAGTTAGAATCGTATATATTTCATAAATATAATATAAAATTTTACATAAGGAGCTACGGCTCAGGCACTGTTCTCCGCTCAGCACCGAACCTAGAGATCTCGGGGATGCTTAGCAGGCATTGATCGTCGGCCAGCTTCTTTAAGACTGCGAGATGCTCCTATCTAGAGTAAGACGCAGGATATATAATAACCCATAGCGTTAGTGATTTCAAAAGGATCGTTTATTTTAAGCTTTTACCCGACTATACCTTAAATAATACTGTAGTGCATTGTGAATAGTTGAACAAATTGATTGATGCACTCAAACCGAAAAATACAGTATTGATCAATAGAAAAGGTGTAGTGTTCCAAAGCCAAAAGCTTTTGCAGCTTGAATGGGATGCGCTACCACACCCACCAAACTTTTCATGTATCTGGCACCTTCGGACTATTACTTGTACAGGTTTCTGAAAATTTTTTTCGATCTGAGGACCTTCACCACAAATGAGGACATCAAAAATCACTTGGACTTCTTTGGTCCACAGATCAAAAATTTAATTATTTAGAATCGATCTCTCGTCCGAAAGATATACGTATTGGATCGAAATGAAGAATATACAATTATATAATATGTGAATATTTTACACCTGCTTGAACTGCACTGAAAGCCCGTAATTACTCAAACGACTCAATACTTGCATTGACAAAGTTCATACTTCCGCAATTGTAAGAGACATTATCCAAAAGGCCTTCAAGCGGAAGTGGTAATCTTGTCGACTACAAATTATGAAAGTTGAATGGAAGAATTAGGTGGAAACTTCCAAGCACTTTCTTCTCCATTGTCCACTTTTGGCAAAACTGAGGTTGAAACATCTTGGTGTTGATACCAAGAGACATGGCCAAAATAGACATTAGTCGCCTCCACAAATTTTTAATAGACTCAAAGCGCTTTGTCGATTTATAAAGTATCTTTATTATCAACTTTATGGAAGTTTTAGGTACCACAATGGACTGGTATTCTAAGCTATTCAAACTGGGATCCCTGTTAGGATCGATCTTTTAACCTAACCTAACCTAACTTATGGTATTTATAAGAATTTTTCACAAAACTCATTCAGTCTAAGCTGTTTTGGAAAAATTTTTATTTTATAGTGTCTAGTGCTAAATCACCTTTAGTGCTAAGTAAGCTTTTTCTATACGCATCCAATCTCTAACTTCTGTATCGAGCTTATTCTTTAACAAATTCTTTATTAAAGAGTATTGCATATAGAATGAGAGGGTGATATTAAATCAATGCTCAAGTGTATCTTAATCTCATTAACCAATGGTTTTTCATATTAAGTTGTTCTACACCGATTAATGGCAGAATTAGCTGTTTTTACATATAAAACTAAGATATTAAAACCACATATTAAGCATTCAGTATAATCACATAAATATCTCGACTTTTTCCTTCATAGCAGTTCATACAACCAACCTATTATATATACTATATATATTTAGGTATATGTCATTGTAGATATGTATGTCACAACGTTCATATGGACAGGCTTATGGCCTCGAATTACACGTATAACATGTCTTTGGACACTTGTTGGCTCGTTAGTAGTACATTTTGCTGCTGCTGTCTCTAATACTTTTATTACACTGTTAACT